ATTGAGGTCTTCTCTTTTAGTTATAAAAATCATGTTAAGGGTTGGATCAAAGTTGTCCATTTTTACACTCATGATGTTTGATATTCATAAGTATAGATAAAGGGAAAAAAAAGAATACTCCTATAGGGACTTTGTAATTTTTTCATTTTTTTTCCCTAGCTTTCGAGTCTTAGTTGTTTCGTAATCTTATTTCAATAAATGTTTCATTGGAAATTGGCTTATCATATGTCTAATTGATTACAGAAAGCACTTTATGTTTTCGTGACCATGTAGTGATGTTTCTAATTAATCTTTGAAGAATGTTCTCCGGGAAATAATTCTCGAAAGAATGCTTTATTATAATTATTTTTAGTGTAGTAATGAAATCAAGATTACAAGAATTCCACTGATGTTCCTCTGAATTCTGAAAGAATGTTTATTTTCTTTTTTAAAGACTACTGAAACTTGTTTTGTGCATTCATAAGAGGTAGTATTTCTTTTTCAGAATGTGTATATTTTTCCCTAACCCCTGCTCAAACATATATGGCCATGTTAGCCCAGGCAGTGTATTGAACTCTCTCTTGTAGTATTTAGGCTGCCGCATCCCTTTGAAATAGTTGTGATACTGTGCTGAGTTTGTTTCATGTTCAGTTTCACTATCTCGCAGTTGCACCGAGCTGCCTCTTTTACTTATTGCTGCAGCTTGACACTGCTAAGCAATCAGACCTCCCTTTTCATTACATTTTGTATGAATGTTCAGAAAACATACGTGTATATTTTGCCTGAATTGAGTGTTGATTTTTCTGACGTCCTCATTTCTGTATTCCTAGACAAAGATACACATAGAGTAATATGATCTGAGAATTGAGATTCCCACTATATGCTTAACTGTTCTTTCTCTTCTCCAGTTTCGGCTCGTAACTGTTAAATAAGTTCTTCGATGTTGGACCCTGAGGCTTCAGCAGATGAAAACTATGTTACTGTGCCTCGTGGTGGTCCTATTTACATTTCTGAAATGGTTGGTCCACTCACTAAGGTTGCTGACTTTGAGGTCAGCATCTTCCATGAACTTGAGGTATGAAACTGTTTCAACTTTGGATTATATTGGCACTCATTATTTGAAGCTTTTATGCCTTTTATAGATTCCATAGTCATGTGAACACATACTTGTATCAGGAGTTTGTATGCATAGCTCCCCTGGATCCCGAATAAACAAAAATTAAAATGAAAAAAAGAAGATAAAGGCCATTTTGGGTGTCATCATTTCTGAAACTTTGATTATGGTCAGTATTTTAAAGATCTTAATTTTGTTATGCAGCGCCTCAAGGCAGAGTTGTCCTCTGATTCACTGGAAATGTTTGATGATGAGATATCGTAAGTGTTCCCTCTTCTCTGCTCCTCTTTGATACTAGAAAAGGAGATAAAACCGATGTGTATCATATGTACCTTCCGCTTACTTTCTCTTGCATATCCTTTAATTAATTTCAGATGGTGATTAGTTCATTTATTTGAGATGCAACACTGCAAGTTATTTAGTTTTACTATGTCATGGATATGAGAGTGACAATTGAAACAGGATTTCCTGGAATATTTTGAGGGATTTCTCTAGCTTTTGTCGAGATCAGCTCTCTGTTTGTGAGTCTTTGGGTTTTGTTGGATGCACAGTTTCTTTTTCCTTTCCAGAGTTTGGGTTTTGGAGTATTCTGCTCCAAGTTTGTTATTTAGAAAGAGGAGATGACACAAAATAACATTGACTGAGGGGATGGTCTCATTGATTCTATTTTGTGTGGAGTAGTTTTTCGGATGGTTTGTATTATCAATAATACCTTGTTAGTAGGTTGTTGGTAAATTCTTTTTCGTCTAGAAGTTATTTGTGACAGCTGATAATTATTTTCTTTTACTTTAATTTAGCGAACGTAGTTTAAAGAATATCGTAATTGATTATGTTTTTAAATCCCATATCTGCTCCTGGCTGCTCAAATAAGCAGTAATACTTGTCCCAAAAAAACAGTAGTACTTAATAGTTATGATATTGACCCTTCAAATTTCACTTTGGTAAGAGGACCTATGTATGGATGATTTCTTAAATTGAACAGTCTACTCTGATTGATCTGACTTTGGTCATTGATTCTTGCAGGATTGAAGATCTTAAAATTATCTGTGAAGAAGAATTGGTGGCTCAGGCCTTTGAAGAAGCATTTAAGGTAACATTTTTTAATTATAGACAGCCATCAAAAGAGTTGGTTTACAAATTCTCGTTAATCCGAAAAAAGGTTAGTTTACAAATTTTCACTTACAAAATAAAATAAAAGGGATCTTCATGTAATGATAACAGGATGACGAGTTAGGGATCCTCAACAATAAAGGTCCAGATAAAAGCAAGACCAACAAGAGGAAACGGAAGAAGAAGAATACTGTTGATGTATGCTAGTGACCTTTTTCTGTTATACATATCTGTTCTAGCACTCTATTTTCTGTTGTATTGAAGTCTTTCTTTAGTTCTTGGTAATTTGAGTTCTGTGTCCTCACCTCTTACTTGAAGCATGTGTCCTATCCTATCATGGATGAGAGTTCTATATTGTCATACGATGCATTAACTGGGACTATCGGATCGCTTGGATGAGTAATCTAGCATTTTGTTTTATATTGATGATTTAGGTTAAGATGTATCAAGATTAAAGAGTAAAAGAAACGTTCAAGCTTATTTTCATCTTTTTAATCCCTTAAGAATTTACTTCTGATTTTAGACTCACAAGCGTTTATCATAGATAGCAAAGAAGTGGATGTATGAAAACTGAAATGTGAATCCTCCATAACACATACTTTAGAAGTGATGAATCATGAACGGAAGCTCCTCCAGCCAATCACAGAAAAAAGCCTCCAAAACTCAAAGAAATCTATTTCTATTGTCATATTAGTCCTAGTGGCTAGTAGCTCATTCAACTTAAGTTCCAACAAGTTGAAAAGGAGAGATCTCCCAAGTTTAGCAATACATTTTTTTAAACAGGAGAAAATAATATTTGATCAGGATACATTGACCCCCCAAAAAAATAAAAATTGAACAGGAGAACAGAGAATTTCGAACATAATTTGGCTTATAAAAGCTGCCAGTTATTTAGTCACACCTTACATATATTCTTTTCATTGACATAGTAGTGGCTGCTCATTTTTTCGCCATTTTCTTTCTCCTTGCAGTTTTAATTGAAGTGTGTTTGCTTGTTTACATTTTCAAATAGTAAGTTGATGTTCTTGCATTTTGTAGGAACACTATATTCTGAAGGTGGAACAACTTGCAAAAGTTAAAGAAAAACAAGAGGAAGAGAAAGCAGCTGCACGATTGCACTCTTTCAAGTACAGATCATCGTTTCTAGTTGATATGCTTTTATTTATGACTAAACCAACCTGTTATATCCATTGTTTGTATTTGCATATTTTGTGTTCTTCATCTTAGCTAGCGTTTTTATATTGGTTCAGTGGTAGTTGCAGCAGCAGCCACTCTGCTCCAACATCATCCAGTAAGAGTGGTAGGATGATATCACTCAAGTCAGTAAGCTTGGGAACAAAGGTTATGCTTCTAAGAACCTTGATTCTTTTTTACTGTATGTCCTGGTTTTGGATGAGTCTTGAATTTTTAAAGTCTGTCCAAAGCTTAAGTTAGTTTAAAGATTATTCCGGCTGTTAAAAAAAAATAATGACTCATTCTGTTTTTTTTTCCTTTATTTGACGGAGAGACTTCTGATCACCTAAGAGATATAATTGAATGGTTTTCATCTCCCCATATAATCTCATTGCAAATTTCATTACTTTCAAATGCCATGATGCAACTATGTGACCATCCAACTCTCCTTTCCCCTATGACTAGGGCTGGGCATAATATGGTTAAAACCGAAAAAACCGACCGAACCGATTTTTTTTTAATTTCGGTTTCGGTTTTTCGGTTATTTCGGTCGGTTTCGGTTTCAATTTTGAATATTTTGGTTTTTCGGTTCGGTTTTCGGTTTTTGGCTAAAACAATTCGGTTAACCGAAAAACCGAAATTATACATATATTCTTTACACCTCTTAATTAAATTACTTCAGTAGCCCATGCCCAGCCGGCCCATTTTCAAAATTAGGCCCAAATTCCAATAGAAATCCCTAAACTGATAACCTGAAATCCCTAACACAATACAAATCACAGTAAGCTCTCATCTCTCAACTCTCGTCACTCGTCAGTCGTCTCTCAGTTACGACTTACACCGCTGCTCGTCTCTCAACTCTCGTCTCTCGTCTCTCGTCTCTCGTCTCTCGTCTCTCGTCTCTCGTCTCTCGTCTCTCGTCTCTCGTCTCTCGTCTCTCGTCTCTCGTCTCTCGTCTCTCGTCTCTCGTCTCTCGTCTCTCGTCTCTCGTCTCTCGTCTCTCGTCTCTCGTCTCTCGTCTCTCGTCTCTCGTCTCTCGTCTCTCGTCTCTCGTCTCTCGTCTCTCGTCTCTCGTCTCTCGTCTCTCGTCTCTCGTCTCTCGTCTCTCGTCTCTCGTCTCTCGTCTCTCGTCTCTCGTCTCTCGTCTCTCGTCTCTCGTCTCTCGTCTCTCGTCTCTCGTCTCTCGTCTCTCGTCTCTCGTCTCTCGTCTCTCGTCTCTCGTCTCTCGTCTCTCGTCTCTCGTCTCTCGTCTCTCGTCTCTCGTCTCTCGTCTCTCGTCTCTCGTCTCTCGTCTCTCGTCTCTCGTCTCTCGTCTCTCGTCTCTCGTCTCTCGTCTCTCGTCTCTCGTCTCTCGTCTCTCGTCTCTCGTCTCTCGTCTCTCGTCTCTCGTCTCTCGTCTCTCGTCTCTCGTCTCTCGTCTCTCGTCTCATGCCCAGCCGGCCCATTTTCTCTCTCGTCTCTCGTCTCTCGTCTCTCGTCTCTCGTCTCTCGTCTCTCGTCTCTCGTCTCTCGTCTCTCGTCTCTCGTCTCTCGTCTCTCGTCTCTCGTCTCTCGTCTCTCGTCTCTCGTCTCTCGTCTCTCGTCTCTCGTCTCTCGTCTCTCGTCTCTCGTCTCTCGTCTCTCGTCTCTCGTCTCTCGTCTCTCGTCTCTCGTCTCTCGTCTCTCGTCTCTCGTCCGTCATCTCTAAAGTCTTAGGCCAGCCGCTACTCCTTGGCTCCTCGCTGAGTGCTCGCAGGTCGCAGCCCGCCACTGCTCAGTGCTCGCGACTCGAAGGTTAATGCTTCTATATAGAGAATATCAACTAGGTGAGTTTGGAGAGCAAAAGCAAAATTGTATGGCATAGATTGTTGGAGTTTCGAGAGTATTGTTAAGTGTTGATTGTTATTTGTTATAGAAGTTGATGTTGATTGTTGTATTATTTGAACAGCAACACAGCCACAACCACAACCCACAGGTCACTGTTAATTGGTAAGTTGCAAGTTAAATGTTGTTGAAATTTGAAGGCAAAAGACAAACTGTATGGCATAGATTGTTGGAGTTTGGAGAGTTGTTGAGTGTTGATTGTTATAGAAGTTTGTTGATTGTTGTATTATTTGAACCGCAACCTGCAACACAGCCACAACCCACATGACACTATTAATTAAATTTGGTTAAACCGAAAACCAAACCGAAATAAACCAAACCGAAATTGTAATAACCGAACCGAACTGAATTTATTTCAGTTTGGTTTGGTTTCATATTTTTGCCAACTGAAAACCGAAAAACCAAACCGAAATTTACAAACCGAACCGAACCGACCGAACGCCCAGCCCTACCTATGACTGCAAAAGTCTGGCGTGCCATGGTAGATCAACTTTCTGTCCGTGGAAATTCCGTTTCTGGACTGGTTAATTTTTTTTGATAAATTAGACGAGTAAAAAATGACCACATTTGCTAGAAGGTGCAAGGAGCACACATTGAGGATAAAATAGGAGAAAGTCACTTGAGATGGTTTAGTCCTATCCTCTGTCTACCTACATATGCACCGGTCTATAGGTGTGAGATTGTGGTGAGTGAAGGTGTTAAAATGGAATGAGGTAGACCTAATCACGGGATTTGTGTTGAATGACCTACAATTTCTTGGAATCAGTGTAAACTTTGGCTGAAGATAAGCACATTGGAAGAAAAAAATCCATATAGGTGATATCTGGCTAAAATAATTTCATGTTAGCCAATACATTGTAAATCTGAGTATATACTATGATGGCATCATGACCTTTCCGATGTGCTTTCAAGAGCAGGCTAAAGTAATTTTATAACAGTTTTATTCTGAATTAGATGTACATAACACTTCTATAGTTTTAGTCCCCAAAATTTCTGCCATCTTAGTTTTAAACAGATGATGGTTTGTTGATTTCGTTCTTGGTTTTTTAATGGCAGGTGAGAGCAGTAAATACTCATGAACATATTGCAGTGCAGTTTCCAGAAGCTATCCTGTGTGTTGAGATTTATCATTACAAAAAGACATGGACAAAAGTATGAACATGTTCTTTATTGCTGTTTGAAGCGCTGATGAAATGAAGTTTAATACTATGCATTTGTATATTTCTGTTATCTGCCACCTCTTTCATCTTCATTCTCTAGAGTAGTCATATTAATTCTATGGGAACAGTATGCTTGAGACCTTATCTGTATTATGAAATAGAAGGCTATTTTGCTAGGTTATATCTTATTCAGGGTGTATTTTGCATGCTTTGACTATTCCGACCTGCTGCCATAGTTTTGAAACAATATAATTAACCTTGTTGAGGATGATCAAATAACATCCTGTTGTTACTTATGTTTTAGTAATACTCATGTAACTTCTGTCCTATTGTTACAACTGACTATGATGATACCTATCTGTAGACTCAAGAATTTTTGGTCCTTGGGCGGCAATTTTTGACGGAAATGAGAGACAAGATTTATTGCATTACTGATGAGATAATGAAAAAGACAGGCAAAAATGATCCTTCGGGCTTCTTCCTTGTGGAGGTAAGTGTTCTAGCAGAATTTTCTTCCAAATGATTAATATCAATTTTCTTATCACCAACCTAAATATTTTCCATAGGATGTCTTTTGCAATGATTTCAGGCATCCTTCTGCTACTGACTATAGTAAGCCAATACTTGATTGGCTTCAAGATTCTAGAAGTGAGGCGGTGGAAAAATGGGAATCTATCGCCTCTGGTGAACTGCCACAAAAACAGAAGGCACTTTTTGGCAGTAAAATTGGACCACAATTGCCCCATTTCAAGACCATTCAAATGCAAAAAACCCGCTTCTGTGACTTACGGTTTCGACTTGGTGCTGGATATCTTTACTGTCACCAGGTAACATTTCTTTTTCAGTTTGTTTTATTTTTCTGTTGCTCAGGGGAATTGTTCATTTTTAATTCAAATCAATGTTCATTAATAATACTTCACCACAGAAGTCTAAGATAAATACAATGAGTATACACATATAGTTCCAGTCATCCGTCAAGACTACCCAATATTTTTTTTATTTGGACGATACCCAATTATTGATAGAGAAAGGCATTTTCTATTTCAACAATTGCCATTATGCCTCAATCCTGATCTAGTGGGGTCGGGTATATGAATCCTCTGCATTTATTCCTCTCTTCAGAGCCATATCCTTCCAATGCTGGCAAATAATGTCTTTTAAGGCCAATGGTAGATTTTCTAAAATATAAGTTCTTTGAATCTCACGCTTATCTTTACCAGGACATAATGTCAATCGTAACTGGTTGGTTTCACTTATAATGATTATTTGATTCTATTATGTTTTGTTAAGTCTGCATTGATACCCCGAAGTTATAGATTTCAGGCAATGAATTTCTACATGATTTAAGGTTCAACTTGTACCTTTCAGAACCTTCAGTCACTATACACTAGATTTTCAGATAGATGCAGAATTTTCAGTGTATACTCTTGTAGCTATAGAAGTGGTTGGGAAGGCTGTGTGGTGTACAAGAGCTCCTATAAGAGTGTCTTTCTTTACACAAATGGGGGTCAAGGCAATTTTGACTCAGGAAGACATTTAGAAAGAGGAGCAGTTTGGGGTAACATATGTTTTCTGTCTGAAGTCTCTGTGGAATCAACAAGTCATTTATTCCAATTTCCTTCATTGAAAAATGGTAAAGGATATTTTTGTCCCTCTATGGAATAAAATAGGCAAGGGTGTATTATGACACAATTAGTGGTAGATCTTTTTCTAAGTTTTTTTTTTGGAGTGGGCAACATATCCGGTGTAATCTCATAAGTGGGGTTTGGTGAGGGTAGTGTGTATGCAGTCCTTGCCCTATCTTGTGAACTTAGAGAGATTGTTTCCGATAGACTGGTCAAGTAAAGCATTTCAAACTAGACAACACTCGACTGCCTACTAAAATTGTTCCCTAATCGTAGACCTCCATATCCTCTTATTTAGGGTCATGTCCTGCTAAGCTGCAGGTATGTCATGCCTTGTCTAATCACATCTCTCTCAAACACTTCTTCGGCCTACTTCTACCTCTATCCACCATAAACAACCTCTCACACCCCATCCAAACATCTCTTCTTCACATGCCTGAACCATTTCAATTGCTTCCCTCATCTTCTCCACCAAGGAGATCATTCCCACCTTGTCCCAAATTTCGTTCCTAATCTTATCTCTCTTAACACATCCATCTCAACATCCTCATTTTCGCTACTTTCATCACCTCGATGTGCGAGTTCTTGACCGGCTGACGCCCTGCCTCGTACAAGTAGCTGATCTAACAACTACTATATGGATGACACATTCTTATCACACAAGACACTAGATGCGAGCCTCCATTTCTTTCATCCACATTAATACAATGTGTAACATCATTGTCAATCGCTCCATTTCCTTGGATTATTGACCCTAGATACTTGAAACTTCTACTCTTGGGGATGACTTGTGTATCGATCTTCAGTTTCACATTTGCCTCATAACTTGCACTCAAATACTTTGTGTTAGTTTTGCTCAACCTGAACACTTAGGACTCTGGAGTTTGTCTTCAAACCTCCAGCCTAGTATTAACTCCGCTTTGTGTCTCGTAAATCATTACTACATGATCTACAAACAACATACACCATGACGCCTCCCCTTGGACATGCTGCGTCAATTCATCCATCACCAAGGCAATAATGATCAATGAGAGAGATAAAAATGGGAAAGACCTTTGGTGAGGTTAAAACTGATTAACCTAACTGATATATGGTGTAGATGAACCACAAGGCCGCAAATCCAATCCTGAAACGGCACGTTTAATTTCAAAAAGTGCAAAAAAGCTCTATGGTCCGTGGGGCCTTTAAACGCAAAGCGTCAAATAAGCATGAGCTTTAATGGAAAGAGGCGGAAAGGGAGAAAAATACAAATATATAGGTTTAGATCAAGGCTAATAATTATAAGGATGAATGACAAATATATGAACAAAGAAAAAAATTACTATAAAAATGAACTATCAGTTATTTAGTGTCAGAGGTTCATTGGCAAGAAAAAATATGCCTTAGAACTTTGACGGTGACACTGAAGCACGCATTAACCGAGGCAAAGCGTTTAACACATTTTGAGCCTCGCTTCAAGGCTTTAGCACGCCTTTGACAACACTGATCCAACCTATTAATCATTTGAGATTTACCTGCAAATACCTTAAATGTATTTGATTCACGTTATGTTTAGCATGAATTGTAGTACTCTCTATATAGATGTTAATGGACTTGTGTCTGTTTTGCATGGTCTATAGGGGGCCCGCAAGCATCATCGAGATTTACCTGCAAATACCTTAAATGTATTTGATTCGGTAAATATGTTTCGTTGTCAAACGTTATGTTTAGCATGAATTGTAGTACTCTTTTTTTTGATAAAAGCATGAATTGTAGTACTCTATATATAGATGTTAATGGATTTGTGTCTGTTTTGCATGGTCTATAGGGGTCCCGCAAGCATCATCGAAATTTACCTGCAAATACCTTTGAAATACTTGATTCTGTAAATTTGTTTCCATTTGTTAAAGTCGATCATGTTTAGCACGAATACTATATATGTTATTGATTTTTTGGTCTGTTTTTGCATGACATAAAGGGAGACTGCAAGCATCTAGTTGTAATAAGAGACATGAGGATGATACACCCCGAGGACGTACAAAACCGAGCCGCGTATCCTCTGATAACCTTTCAGCCAAAATTGAGGTTCCAGAAATGCTCTGTTTGCAAGATTTTCAAAGCAGTTAAGGTCACTGTTGATGATAAATGGGCTGCTGAAAATCCTTGCTACTTCTGTGAACTTTGCTATTACATGCTCCATTATGTAGATGGGTCTTTGCTTTATGATGATTTCTCTGTGTATGAGTATCTCCATGAGTAGAATGTAATCAGAACAGCAGAAGTTATATAGTAATCCTTTTAAAAGAGGGGAAAAAGATGTTTGCTTAGTTGAAATTCTGAAATTTTTTCTATGCATCCTGGTCATTTTTACTTGTTTGGTTACCCTTTTTAATGTGTTTTATTCCTGCATACAATTTACAGGTAGGGTGTGTTTGGTCTATCAGAAACAACCTTTCTCTACC